CTGTTTTTTTCTCATTTTGAGTTGTGCCAACATATATATAGCAGTATATACAAAGAATTCTACACTATAACCAAATGGGGTTTACCCCGTGGATCCAAGGGAACTTCCTCAATCTGATAAAGAGCATTTTAAAAAATACCATACCTAATATCACACTAAATGGTGAAAGACTGGATGCTTTCTTCCTGAGACCAAGAACAAGACAAGGATATCCACTCCCACCACTTCTATTCAACATTGTACTGGAGAATATAGTCAGGGTAACTAGGCAAGAAAAAAAAAATGCATTCAGATTGGAAAGGTAAAAGTAAATCTCTATTCACAGATGACATGATCTTCCTTATAGGAAATCCTAAGAAATCCACTAAAAACTATTATGACTAATAAATGAGTTCAGCAACTTTGCAGGACACAGATCAATTAAAAAAAAAAAAATCAATCGTATTTCTATGCACCTGCAGTGAACAATCCAAAAAATGAAATTAAGAAAACAATTCCATTCACAATAGCATAAAAAAGAATTAAATATTTAGAAATACATTTAACAGTAGAAGTATAAAACTTTCACTCTGAAAACCATAAAATATGGTTTAAAGAAATTAAAGGTCTAGATAAATGGGGAAAAAAATCCCATGTTCATGGACTGAAGACTTAACATTGTTAAAATGTCAGTACTCTCCAAACTGATCTACAGAGTCAACATAATTCCTATCAGAATCCCAGCTGACTTTTTTGTACAAATTGCCAAGCTGATTCTAAAATTCATACAAATTGCAAGAAACCTAGAATAGCCAAAATAATCCTGAAAAAGAAGAATGAAGTAGCTTCAAGGACTCACATACACTGATGTCAAAACTTAGAACAAAGCAGTAAAAAGTAATAAAATAGAAGTTATAAAAACCACCTCTTGTTACTCATGTATGTCTATATGCATAGTTATCTATGGACAAAGTTAACATGAACATCACTGGGAGTAGGACTGGAAGGATAGGAGACATAGTCATATTTTTTATATAATTTCTTTTAAAAGTAACTGGGTTAAAAATGTGATTGTGATAGTTAAAAGTTTGTCTGTAAATTTTTTGTACTCCTTCCATCTAGATGTGGAGTCTAGTTCCCCTCCCACTTATTATGGGTTGGGCTTTATCCTTTTCTGGGAGGTTGCAGGCTGATTTTATAAAATTACAAGGGTGAATTAAAGGTAAAACATTTTACCTTTATCATTATCAAAATTTGTTATTAAAAATTTTATAGTAAATGGAGCTCTAATGGCATAGTGGATTTTGGCTGCTAACTGGAAGGTTGGTGGTTCAAACTCACCAGCTGTGCTGTGGGAGGAAGATGAAGCAATTTACTTACATAAATATTTACAGCCTTGGAAACCCAATATGGGTCTCTAGGGAGCTCTGGTAGCATAGTGTCTAAGGCACTTGACTGCTAACCAGAAGGCTGGCGGTTCAAACCCACCAGCCACTCCCTGGAAGGAAGGTTGGGCAATCTACTTCTGTAGTGATACTGCCTCGGAAACCCAAGGAGGGGTCGCTAGGAGTCGGGTCTGACTCAACGGCACATAACAACAACAACAACTCAGTGGCAGTGGGTTTATAGTAAATGGAAGGAAAAACTAAAAGTACTGCTGAAAGAGAGCATCAGGCACTGGCAGATCAGGGTCACATAAGTAAATGTGGAGGGAAGTTAGGTTGGGAAGGTCTGAAGCATACATTTACAAATATACCGGAACTCCCAAACATGGGTAAGGTCATACTCTGGGATGGGGTGATCTCTATTTTTAATAGAATGCAGCTGAAGTGACCTTGTGTGACTTCCCAGGCCAAGTCATAAAAGGCAATGTAGCTTCTACCTGGCACCTGCACTTGGGACTCTCACCACTGGAACCCAGCCACCATGTTGTGTATATGTATGCCACGCCATACATATGGTGGCAACCATATGTGGTGTTCTGACCAACATACCCCATGAGATCTCAGCTGCAAGCAGCAACCACTAGACAAGTGAGTGAACTGGCCTTTGCTATAACCGCAGCACACGTTACTACCTGACTGCAACCACCATGAAACATGCTGAATAAGAATCCCTTAGCTGAGCCCAGTCAAGCCCAGAGCCCTGAGAGGTAATAGTAGATGACTACTTTTATGCCACTAGGATTTAAGATTTTCTTACACAAGTATAAAACATTGAGACAGTTGTGGGGAACATCAAGTTCAATTGGCATAACATACAAAAACATTGTTCTACATCCTATTTTGGTGAGTAGTAAATAGGGTCTTAAAAGCTTGTAAGTGGCCATCTAAAATGCAACAATTAGTCTCTCCTTGTCCAGAGCAAAGAAGAATGAAGGAAACCAAAGATACATATAAATAATTAGTCCAAGGGATTAGTGGATCATGCAAACTTCAGCCTATATGACCCTGAGACCAGAACTAGATGGTGCCCGGCTACCACTGTCAACCACTTGGAAAGGGATCAAAATAGATCCTGGATAGAGTGGGAAAAAATTGTGGAACAACAAAAACATTGTTCTACATCCTACTTTGGAGAGTAGCTACTGGGATCTTAAAAGGTTGCAAGCAACAATCTAGATGCAATGTTGGGTATCACCTCATCCAGAGCAAAGTAGAATGAAGAAAACCAAAGACACATGGAAGCAATTAGTCCAAGGGACTGGTACACCATGCAACCCTCAGCCTATGTGACTATGAGACCAGAAGAACTAGATAGTGCCCAGCTACCACTGTCAAGCACTTGGAGGGGGATCTATGTAGATCCTGGATAGAGTGGGAGAACAATGTGGAACAAAACACAAAATCATAAAGAAAAAAAAAAGGACCAGGTTTACTGGTCTGTTAGAGCCTGGTGAAACCCCTGTGACTATGGCCCCTAGCTTCCCTTCAGGTCTGGAATTGAACCCACTCCTGTGGCTTCCAGCCAAATAAAAGCCCAGCATATGGGCTGAACATTTACATTAGGTAGATACACTCTTTGGAGAGATGAATCATGGGAGAATAGAAGGGCTGTGTATGCGCAGGGAAACAGGTTGGGGGGCAGGAGTGCATGGGAAGGAAGGACACAAAGAAGAGGTAACTATGGGGAGGAAGTGGAAAGAGAGCTGTTGCATTGTAGGAAATTGCAGTCAATGCCATGAGACAAAGTGTATGTGAACTGCTGTATGGAAAATGAATTTGCTCTGTAAACTTTAACCCAAATCACAATATATTTATTTATTTTTAAATGTGGAACAAAACTCAAAATCATAAAAAAGGCAGGATCTTTGGTCTGATAGAGACTGGTGAAACCCCAGAGACTATGGTCCCTAATTACCGTCTGTGCCTGAAATTGAGCTCACTCCCATGACTTCCAGCCAAAAAGTAGACAGTTGTATAAGGTGAACATTTACACCAGATGGATATACTCCTTAGAACAATCAACCTTGGGAGATCAGAAGGGTAGTATTTGCGCAGGAAGATAGTTCAGAGGGTGGGAATGCACAGGAAAGAAGGACATACATGGAAAAGGTAATCACAGGGAGGAATTGGGAAGACAGCTGTTACATTATGGGGACTGCAATATCATGGAACAAAATGAATTTGCTCTGTAAACTTTCACCCAAATAACAATTTTTTTTTTTTTCTTTAAATGGAAGAAACGAAAGGTCCTCTGTGAGCTGGCTGCTGAAGAGAGGTAGATGGAGAAGGTACAAAAAGCAAAGCAGAAAAGCAGTGAGAGTAGCAGTTCCCTAGGACTGCTTAGTTCTTGGCAGCTTTCCAGATCTAGTTCCTGGTCGCACTTCTTTTTAATTTTTGTGATTTGTGTGAAAGTTTACAGAGAAAATTCATTTTCCACACAGCAGTTCATACACATTTTGTTTCATGACATTGACTGCAATTCCCAACAATGTAACAGTTCTCTTCCCACTTCCTGTAGTTACCTCTTCCCTGTCCTTTTTTCCTATACATTCCTACCTCCTGAGCTATCTTTCTGTGCAAATACTGCTCTTCTGTTCTCCCATGATTGATCATTATAAGGAGTATATCTACCTGGTATAAATGTTCACCCCATATGCCTATCTATTATTTGACTGGAAGCCACAGGTGTGAGTTCAACCTGAATGGTAACTAGGGATCATATTCTCGGGGGGTCTCACCAGTCTCTTTCAGACTAGTAAACCTGGTCTTTTTTATGATTTTGAATTCTGTTCCACATTGTTCTTCTACTCTATCCAGGATCTCCTATACTGATCCTTTCTGAGTGGTTGACAGTGATAGCCAGACACCATCTAGCTCTTCTGTTATCATGGGCATATAAGTAGAGGTTCACATGGTCTACTAAGTAGTCCCTTGGATGAATTGTTTCCACATATGTTGTTTTTCTTCATTCTTCTTTGCTTTGGATGAGGAGAGACTCATTGTTGTATCTAGTGCATCTATCTTTATAATAAACTCTTTACTCTAAAAAAAATGAAACAGTGATTTTTACATTTGTGTTTTTCAATATTAGAAATATAATTATTTTATTTCATACCCTCACCCTCTACTTGATAGATAATGGATGCAGAATCCTACATGAGTCCCTGCTTAGAAGCAGAATATCTTGCTGAAGAAGATGCTAAGTTTTAGAACAGCCATTTGTAATTTCTGAAAAAGAAGTTTATTGCTGTTTTTTTTGTCTGTTATGCAAAACTATATTTTCTAAAAATGTCTCCCAGTCTCTCTAAGGGAACCGAGGTAAGCAGGAGGCTACAGCTGGTGTGTTCTTCAGCAATGGCTTTGAGGAAGCATATCTATAACAATGATTACAGCCAGGCTCCCTTAGGACAGAGCACTCCCACTGAGGTCCCCAGTCTCTGGTGTCAGCTCAGTTTCAGTGACACCACTTTTCCATTTAGACACACTTGGAAACCAGATCGCAGGCTCGTGAGATGGACCTCAACCTCCAGGTCTTGTGTGCGCTGGGCTGGCAGGCATTGGTTGTGACTTTCTTGGTTACCCTGGGATGTTTGCTGCTGCCTGTCCTGGCATTCCTGGGGTGGGTCCAGCAGGCAGAGTCTGTGCAGGGTTATCTATGTGCACCATCACCTGGGTGTGGGGTAAGCTGGAAGAGATGCTGGGGCTCAGAGCACCAGGCTCAGGGATCCAAGGGTCCTTATCCATGCTGTGGCCCATGCTGGCCAGCTCTCTGGTGCTTTCACCATAGTCTCTGTGGGGAGATGAGGTGTGAGCTGTAGGAAGAGTGGGTGGGGTGGGCTTACTGCCATCTTCCCAGGTGCCAGGGTTGGGACCTTCCATGGAGCTGGGCAGATGGGCTGGTCCCAGGACCCTCTAACCTCTCATCTTCCAGTCAACTGTCTTATGGTAGACTGGCACCTCAATGGCCCACCACTCCCAACCGTCAGAAAGATCAGGTGGGACCATCACACACCAGCCTGTGTGTGGGGTAGGGTATTGGTTCAGGAGAATGAAAAAGTGTACACCTGGTGCACCCTGGTTCTGGAGCAGCACCTGGGTATGGGGCAGTCACTGGGTACAGGGAAGCCCCTTGGTATTGAACAACTGTTGACCTCGCTTCCACTCAGGCTGTGTGCATTCTCCTGTCCCATCATCCCAACCACAAACAGACTCCAGAATTTGTACCAGGCCCAGATCAGCTGAGCCTGCCAAGGGATCAATGATGACTAAGACTCCTCCTTGCCTAGTGGTGGGACCTGACCCAGAGGAAGGGCCAGTGTCTTTGCACATGGCCCAGCCCGGTCATGCCCAGCCCTAATTAGGCATGGCCCCACACTGGCAGGTTCAGCTGACTATAATTGCACTTTCCCACTAGATTAGGGCTCTTCCAACTTGGATGTGTTTGTAAACAGCTGTAGACTTTTCTGCTGTCCTTCAGGAGTGTTTATGGGCTGTTGGACTTTCCAAGGACATTATGTCTCTTGATCAAAATGCCTGAAAGCTCCTAAAAGGAGTAGCACCTTATAAGCATCTTGGCAGTGGCAGAGGCAGTTACCAGGGGCTGGGCATGAGTTAGGGACAGGTCTCAGGAACACTGGTTCCTCCCTCTTAGCCTGAGAAAGGGCTTCTCTGGCATGTAAAAGGGGGCTTCACTATTTCCCAGCCTGGACCCTGTAGGGGCTGTGGGCTTCAATGAGCAGGGCTGCTCTCCTTCCTGAGGGTGGGAAGGGGCTTTTTGAGGTTCATGTGAAGAAAGGAAGCTTAAGAAAGCTTTGACTGCTAACCAGAAGGCTGGCAGTTCAAACCCACCAGCCACTCCTCGGAAGGAAGGATGAGCAATCTACTTCCTTAGTGATACTGCCTTGGAAACCCAAGGAGGGGTCGCTATGAGTCGAATCTGACTTGATGGGAGTGCATTTGTTTTTGTTGCGCTGCTACCAGGGTTCTGGTGGCAACTGGGTAAGGACATGCTTTTGTGAGACTTAGCACCAGGCTGATAACTCATGACCAATACCTAGCCTGGGCTTCCAAACATGCTCCTCACGTGGAGAAGGGCTAATCTTGGAGAAGGGCTGGCTGTTGGGCTGAGCAGAAGTACTAGATGAGCCTGGAGCATCTTACGCAAGAAAGGAAGTGCTTAGAGAATGACGGGACATATCAGGAGGACACAGGCAAAGCGTAACAGACTTCTACTGGTAAAAGAACAGAGTGAAAAAAAAAAAAAGAATTGTGCTTCAAAGTAATTGGGGGGAGTGGTCAAGGACATGGCTTGGTCATGAATTGGTCATTGATGAAACTGAGACAGGATATCACTACACTCTTCTATTTTTGTGTTCTTGTGACATTTTCCCAAAACAAAGTTTTTAGAAAGTGCATCCATGAGTTCACAGTGATACAAAAATGACAATAAAACAAAATAACAATAAAAAAGGAGGAAAAAAAGCCGAAGAGTTCATCCTCATTTCTTATGGCAGGAATGGCAGAATTACAGCATCACCATTTTGCAAACCCATAGGACAATCCAAGGATCATCCATGGATATGAGGCTCAGAGGCTGCAGGAGCAGAAGTCATCCCACTCAGAGTCACTTCTTAGTCACCCAGCAACAGAGTGCTCTGGAGGATATGCCTTACGTGCCCCAGATATCAGAATCAGTATAGCTCATCAAAGGCTCCTGATACCTGTGCCTTTGAAGAGATGAACTGATGCACAGGACACACGTCATCTGCAAAACCCTCATGCAGGGAATGCACATTTGAATCTGAACAATGGAGTCCAGATAGACCCGCACTTCCCCTGTGCACGTCCCGTTGGAGACTCCATACCAGTGCATGAGAGACCAAAGAGCCAGACACCTGACTAATAAGCTGCATGTGATCCTGGATGGACCCCGGACCACAGCATACAAACACACATTTAAAGCTACTCATGACATTGACTACCACATAGTCCCTATGGTTCAGAAAAAAAATTTATATATACATATATGAAAGAAAGATAGAAGGGGGGAGGGAGAGAGGGAGAAGAGAATATGGCAGAATCTTTTTAGCTGCTGAGTCCAGGTAAAGGAATCAGGAGATGCATGTGTTGAGTGTACCTATTCTTCTATATTGATTTGAATTCTCAAAATAAAAAATGGTGGGGGGTAGTTTTGGGTGCTAGAAATGTTGAGGTAAGGATAGACCCAGAAGGACCCTTAGCCCCTGCCTTGGAGGGGTGAGTCTGACTTGCAGCAGGGTGAGGTCCTAGCTCTTAGGCCCCAGAATAGCCACCCCCATAACCGCCAGGCTGCTGTGCTCACGTGGTGAAGCAGTGGTTGTCATGTGCCTGCATGGTAGCTTCCCCTAAGTGGGGCTGGCTCCTGGGGTGGCTGTTGTTGTTGTTGAGTCCTTTGAGGCCAAGATAGGCAGCCTGTACTGTTTCCAGGTCCTCCCCTCTAAGCTGGTACCACAGCTGGGCTGTTCTGGATGAGAAAGTAAAGAACATTCAACACACAGCATCTCCAGGATGTGGACCAGCAATGCCACAGGCTTCACACAGCCCCAAGGCTCTGTGCACATTTGTGGATATCCTCTGAAAGGACCAGGAATGGAATACTACAGGGCGTCTCTGTAGCACAAAAGCCAAGGAACATGGCTATGTCCCAATAAACCTTTATTTACAAATACAGGTGGCAGGCCAGATTCTACCTGTGGGCTATGGTTAATCAACCCTTGTTTACAGTGTGATTGAATGATGCCACGTGAAGTACGTGGGTGTCCACAGCACCTGAATGACTCTTAAATATGTCAGGTGCAGATGGTATGTATGCACAGGTTGAAGGATAATAAACAATTTGCCTGTGCATCCCAGTGAAATGAGGCTACTCTGACTTTGGAGTTTATTCACTGCTCAGGTTTTCTTTATGGTCCCACAACACATGTGCATGTTCCTGAACAGGGTGTCTGGTTTCCATGTCCATCAGCAGCCTTGCTCACAGGTGGGGCTGCTGGGTCTCCATGTACAGCATGATGCCAAGCCTGCCAACTGCAACAGCACACACCCCAATTCTGCCAGCTCAGGACTAGACACCACCCCTTTGCCAGTCCCTTGCAGGCCAGCTGCTCAGCAGTGACAGGCAGCCCACAGGACTTATAAACCAACTAGACTGAACAGACATCTGTACAACACTCTACCCAACAACAACAGAATACATATTCTTCTCAAGCATATATAGAACATTTACCAGGATAGATCGCATGCTAGGCCATATGCATATGATCTACCAAACATGGCCAGGGTATTTCCTATAACATACTTCTCTCCTAGGAGCATGGACACCAAGAAGGCTGCAGAACTCAAGGCTGTAGGCCCGTTTCACAGGGAAGACCCAAGGCCTGGAGAGCTTAGGACATCCTCCACAACTCTCCCCATCCTTACCCTGTGGGCCAGGCTGTACCTGTCAGAGCGCTGCTGCTCTGCCCGCTTCACACACTTCATTAGGCAGCAGGTGAGGAAGGCCATGGACATGAGCAGGATGATGGCACAGCTGACAATGGAGGCAATCACAGCTACCCTGAAGCCGAAGGTCTCAGATGGGAGCACAGCTGTTAGGGAGACATGCACCAACCCCTGGGCAGGCTTGCCCAAGCCTGCCTGGGCCTGAGGTTAGACTCAGACTGGCCTCAGGGAGCTTGTTCTGAGACAGAACCAAAGGTTTCTATAAACTGTTACTGTGGGTAGGGTTAGCAGGGAAGATTCCCCCCGAGAAGGGACCATTTTTGGAGGGTTTGTGGAGGTCATGCAGGAGTTTGTAGAATGGAAAATTGAAAGGCTCTGATGGGAGGTCAGAGTGATGGTCTCACTCACTCCCACCAACTGGAATCTTGGTTGAGAAGCAGAGGAAGGGTGGAACCACCAAGACCAGATGGCAGCAGCCATCATCATTGACAAAGACTTACCTGGCCTAGGGTCTGAGTTTCCACAATGCTCTGAGCTGGCAAAACTCTTCAGTGCCTACATGCCTTGTCAGGTCAGTTTCCAAGAAGGAATAAAACCAAGAAAAATGGCCAGGCTTTGAGGTTAAATAGCATTGTTGGTTTGAAACCTGCTTTGTCATGTATTAGCTATGTGACCTCAGCTATGTGTTAACAACTAGGGTCTATCAGGTTCTAAGGGATGTTCTGTGAAAAAAAGGAACTGGGATTCCAATTTGAACAACACTATATACTCTATTTCCAGTGGTGAGCACTGCTCATGTCCCCTAATACTCATTTTCTCTTGTATCTTAGCTGGACATTGGTCAATCAGAATGAAGAGTACATTTCCCAGCCTCCCTTGAAGCAGCCTGTGGCCATATGACCATAGTACAACCAGTAAGAGAAAGTGATGTGGAACAACTTCCAAGGACTTTTCTTAAGACATTGCCCTTTGGCCTGCCTCTTCACCCTGAAACACAGATGCTGCATCTTGGATCATAAAGTTGATCCAAAGCCACAAGACAAAAGGGTCCTGAGTCCCCATTATTGTGGAGCACTATAGAAGCCTAGGACTGCCCATCTTGAGGCTTATGGGTAATAAAAAGTTTCACCTTGCTTAATCTCGTTTGTTTTTTTTCTTTAATTATGATTTGGGTGAAAGTTTACAGAGCAAATACATTTTCCACACAACAGTTCATTCACATTTTATTTCATGAGATTGACTGCAATCCCCATAATGTAACAGCACTCTTCCCACTTCCTCCCTGTGGTTACCTCTTCCCTGTGTCCTTCTTTCCTATGCATTCCTGCCCCTGAGCTATCTTCCTCTGCAAATACTGCCCTTCTGATCTTCCAAAACTGACTATTCTAAGGAATGTACCTACCTAGCATACATATTCACCTTATATGCTTATCTATTGTTTGGCTGGAAGCCATGGGAGTGAGTTCAATTCCAGGCCCAAAGGGTGACTAGTCACTTTAGTCTCAGGGGTTTTACAAGGCTCTATCAGACCAATAAGCCTTGTCTTTTTTTTTTTTAAATGATTTTGAGTTTTGTTCCATATTTTCCTCCCACTGTATTCAGGATCTCCCACACTGATCATTATCCAAGTGGTTAAGCTCCTATTCTTTGGCTTCTGTATCTCTTGGAAGCCAATCCTAACAAACACCTCCATTCTCAGAGATTTATATACCACACAAGCATTTTAAAGGCTCCCAGAAGTCCTGTAGCCTATAAGCTCAGCATTTTCCAAACTATAGTAACTAAGGAGCCCTTTTTTATGCACAATACACATCAAAGTCTCATGGTTCACTTTGGAAAACGCCATCCACGGCATTCAACAGTTATTATCTCATCTCAACCTTCAATATTCTGTATAAACAAACCAAAAGCCAAATGCATTGCCATCAAATTGATTCTGACTCATAGCAATCCTATAGGGTACAGTAGAACTGCCTCATAGGATTTCAAGACTATAAATCTGTATGGAAGTAGACTGCCACATCTCTCTCCCACAGAGCAGCTGGTGGGTTTGAACCATTGACTTTTCAGTTAGCAGCCAAGAGTCAAACCACTGCACCACCAGAACTTCTATACCTTGTAAAACTAGTAAAACTAGAAAACTATCTCCTCCCCTAGACTGAGAGCTGCAGGACTGGAACATGCTGTGGTCCTCTGTGTCACCAATGCATAGAATTCTTTGTATATGGATTGACCTAATGAGTGAAGTAATGAATGAGTGAATATTATCTTCCCCACTTGCCAGATGACAAAGCTCAAGTCCAGACAGTACCAGTAACCTCTTGGAGGGGGCAGGGTGGGTTAGAGGCAGAGTTAGGATTTAGGTCTGGGAGGTTTCCATCACTCCATAAATGTGGCATTCCAACAGGCAGGAGTCATGGCCAAACAAGCTTAGGGATGTGGATCTGAGAGAATCTCAGCTTTTGGCTACATACATACCTGCTGCTCTTTCTCAGGGAACAACTATAGCCACACTGTGGAAAGGATGTAGGGCCACCCACCCGGGGTAGCCACTGTGTGCGCCTTACACTTGCACGAAGGTGTCCCTGATGACCACTCAGCAATGCTCCCCTTCCAGGCACAGGTGATCAGACCAGGCCCTCCCATCTGGTGGCCAGAGGGGCAATGGAACAGCAGCACTGTCCCCACAGAAGTGCCATTGCCACGAAGGACTTGGAAAGTTCCCTGCAGAGGTTGCTTCACTTGAGTGCAGGTGCCTAGAGAAGAAGAGACAGATATGAGGACCCACCTTGGAAGCCCCTTGGGGCAAAGGGCAGGACAAGACCTAGCAGTCAGTCATGGCCCTGAGCAAGGGTAGTGAAGTTCTTGACACAGCCAAGGTACTTTTGTCCATAGGATAAGTGGGCAAGGGAATGGTTCACAGGCCACGTACTACTGTGGGAGAGATTACATAGGGACCAACACAGGTGCGTGGGGAGGGGTAGCCACTCAGTGGGGATAGACCACCAGGAAAGCAACAGAGTAGGGGAAAATAAACTCCAGATCCTCAAAAGATTGTGGATATTGGTTGTCATCAAGTTGATTCTAAGTCATTGCGATACCATGTGTATAGAGTAGAACTGCCTTAGGTTTTTCAAGGCTGTGTGACCTTCAGTAGGAAATTTCCAGGACTGCCTCCTGAGGTATTTCTGTGCAGATTCAAATCACAAACCTTTTGACTAGTAGTGGAATACTTACCCATTTGCACCACTCCCTTAGAAGATTAAGGTGTTAAAAAATAAATCAGGAAGTGTTAGAAGAAATAAAAGCAAATATTTATACAATAATTTTCTAATCATGGCTCCAAAAGCAGAAATCATTTAACATAAAAAAGGGGGGAGAAATTGACAAATTTGAATATACAAAGAGTAAAAAGGAAAAACTTGTTATTGTCTAATAATTAAAAAACAAAACAAAAATTCAGATTAAAAATTAGGAAAAAATATTAAAAGCATAGGACAATGGATCAACAGCATTAATTTATAAAGAGTTCTTACATATCAATCAAAGATGAACATCCAAAGAAAATGCATGAGCAGGAAATTTACAAAAGAAATACAAATGGCCTATAGGCATGAAAAGATGTAGTTACTCTCATAGTAACTGCAAAAATACTAATACAAATGAAGCTAATCTCTGACTCACCTAGTTGGCAAAGATAACAGAAAAATAATGATTACATGGAATGTCAGTAAGAATCTGGGGAGTGAGTCCTCAGATTTGTCTGGTGGAGACTGTATATTGAAATTTCCTGGATGGAGTTTAGTAAAATGTATTAAGAGCTTCAAATTATGTATGCATATGAGATTTAGCCAAAGGAAATAATTAAGAGTCTGCTGCAAAGATTTATATTTCATACCATTCATCTTAGAGCTGTTAAAATCGTGAAAAGTTGGAAATTCCATGTCCATCAGAGTAAGGGACTGGTGTCATAAATAAAGGTAAATCCAAACTGCATAATGCAGTTATAATGATTTTGTCCTTAATTAAAGATAAAGAGAGATGCTTCTAATATAATGAAAGCCACAAAAATTGTTAAGAAATTATAAGGACAGTAGCTGACACTTGTATAGAACTCATTGTGCACTGATGACCATTCTATAGCTTTTCATATGTTCATTCATCCATACAATAGCCTGCCAGGGAGAACTGTCATTATCCCCATTTGTCAGATGAGCAAACTGAGGCATAAGTTCACAGAGACTCAGACCCAAGAAATCAGGCCCCCATCTGTCTTCTTCACTCACACATACACACACATACACACACACCACTTCATGCCCTTTTGGTCTCTGGCTTCTCTCACTCAGGATACTGCATTTGAGAGAGTCAACATGTCCGTGTGTCAGTAGTTGGTTCCTTTCTGCAGCAGAGCAATGTCCCATGGCCTTGTTGGACCTCAGCTAGTTTCTCTACTCTGTGCTAATGGGCATTTGCAAGGTTTCTAGCTTTCGAGGATGCTGATGAAGTTGGTTTGGACATTCTTGATGTTGTCTCCTGATGCCCAATGCAAGATGCTCTTCTAGTATTTATGACTTTTGATAAATGACTATATTACTAGTGCATTGAAGGTAGAAAGGTTTGTCTTGGAGAACAGGGAGAGGTGGTTGTACAGCCTCTGCCCATGGCAAAGACAGACTCCAAGGCAGTTCCATGCTAAAGAGGGACAAGATCATCTTAACGGGTGGGATTTCAGTCCTTTTGCACAGATGAGAAGCCTGAGAAGTGGATGGAGGCAGGGTCCCCAAGTCTGATGGGCACCCTTATTCCATGCTGACCTGACACAACCCTTCACATATCCTCTGCCTTTGATGTCTTCAGTCAGGAACCCCCTGAGTACCAAACATGGCTGTTCAACTGTCCACTCTGCCTAATATGACCATAATGACTCTTTTTTTTATTATTATTAATTTTTTTAAATTTTATTTTGATTTGGGTGAAGATTTACAGAGCAAATTCACTTTTCATATAGCAGTTCACATATACTTTGTCTCATGTCATTGACCAAAATTTACAATACAACAGCTCCCCTCCCACTTCCTC